TAGTGACAGCATTGACACCTACCTTATTTCATTATGGCAATGACAGCTATATTGAGTGACACATATTTCAATATGTAGTGACAGCATTGACACCTACCTTATTTCCTTATGGCAATGACAGCTATATTGAGTGACACATACCTTAGTTATTTCAATATGTAGTGACAGCATTGACACCTACCTTATTTCATTATGACAATGACAGCTATATTGAGTGACACATATTTCAATATGTAGTGACAGCATTGACACCTACCTTATTTCCTTATGGCAATGACAGCTATATTGAGTGACACATATTTCAATATGTAGTGACAGCATTGACACCTACCTTGTTTCATTATGACAATGACAGCTATATTGAGTGACACATAGTTATTTCAATATTAAGTGACAGCATTGACACCTACCTTATTTCCTTATGGCAATGACAGCTATATTGAGTGACACATATTTCAATATGTAGTGACAGCATTGACACCTACCTTATTTCCTTATGGCAATGACAGCTATATTGAGTGACACATATTTCAATATGTAGTGACAGCATTGACACCTACCTTATTTAATTATGACAATGACAGCTATATTGAGTGACACATATTTCAATATGTAGTGACAGCATTGACACCTACCTTATTTCATTATGGCAATGACAGCTATATTGAGTGACACATATTTCAATATGTAGTGACAGCATTGACACCTACCGACATCAAAACCGCGTTCAACATTTTTTCCTTGTCATTGAGCACCAGCTTCCCCCCAAGCCTGCGTTCAGTCTCCTCTTTAAGTATCTCCATCTTGGCCTCGTGGATTGCCTCCGGGGTGAGTACCCCGCGCCTCACGGGTGCAGCCAGAGCAGACTTCGTGCAGACGACAACCAGGACACAGAAGAGTTGCACGTCGCTCAAGCTAAACCAGCGAGCCATGATGAGTTTCTTGTCTGGTTAAATAAAAAAAATAGTTTGGTCAGTCGATTTTTTAAAAGGGGTTACATGCAACAGGCACAATTTGTGTTCCTCGTGCAGGATAATGAAACCAGATTTCAAATCATATTTTAAAATTCAGTAAACTTTAGTGCGGACTATTTAGGTGGGTGACACCATGGCGAAAAGTTGCCAAATATATCGAAGAAAAACGCTTTTGCCAGTTTAATTTATGATTAATTAGAGTTAGTCCACCTATATTAATAATTGACAATAGAATAGCATTTTTGCTATTAACTGTGCACACTTTAAAACTATCACCCGAGGGTAGAGGGGTGGGTAGGAGTGTAACACCAACTACAAAATTTACACGGGACCGGGAAGAGGGTGACACCAAAAACTAATAATTTACGATGAAAACGATGCTTTTTCCCACATGAATTAAATGGTGGATTAATGTAATGTGCGCACAAAATGACGCCGATTAGGGGTAACATCAACTATATATAGGCCTATGTAGACCTTATATATATATATATATATATATATATATATATATATATATATATATAATCATATACTTTTTTCGGGGGGGGGGGGGACACCATGCGGTGACGCACAGGGTAACACCCGACCTAGCGACGCCACTGAATACACTGAATAAAAGCAAATATACTTTGCTACCCTAGGCCACTTGTTATTCAAGAAGGTTTAGGGGTAAAGTAAATATGTCAATAGTCAATACACAAAAATCGACGATAACGTATTAATAGCACTATCCTTTTATTAAGGAAAATGGGTGTGATATACCCTCAACTTTCTCGTATCTAGATCTAAATTCATGTTTATAAAAATGATAGTATGTAAACTATGGTTTACCTACAGTAGCGAATGTTTAGGAATCTCAACAATCATAACCGGATAATTTCCGTCGCTATATCGTGAGATTAAGATTGTTGACAGACGGACAGACGGGCCGATGGACAGGCCAACAGACGGACAACGGACGGGCGGAGTGCAGAGAATAATGATAGAACCCATCTTATCAAACTTTATTGCTCTTGGACATGTGACTAGCTAGAGACATGATAACGACGAACCAGTCCTTGTACTTCTGTTGCATGAGCCCCACACCCCACCCCCAACTTTATAAGCCGTCCACCTACCTCTTTTGAACTTCAGTATATTAATTTAGGGAATATAATTTGCCATTTCATCTCCGATAATATTTTTCCGACATCATGTTCAACGTATTTTACCAAGCGCATTCAAGACGAGTGCTGTATCGTGCTCAATGAAAAGTTTTCTTGTCCAAATACTGGGTATATTTTTGTTTACAATTTTTTTTTAAACACATTAAAAACGTTTTAACAATAAGCGTTTATATAATCATGCACTAAAAAAATGATTTTCATTAAATATATAATAATGCACCACAATTTTAATAACTAGAAAGATAAGCCTGGGTCGCTACTTAAATTTTATAAAGGGTATTCAATTGATACCACCCCACGCTTTTCTTTATAGTTATTTAAATAGAGGTGCATTATTTTATATTTAATGAAAATAATTTTTTTCTTCATTTTTAAGGCTTGTTATGAAAACGCTTTTTATTTTTAAAAATTCAATATTTCAAAAATTTTAATACAATACAATAAATAAAAACAATTGCACACCAAATCAACGCGAAACTTTAATTTATTTGTTTTTAAAATTAATTAGGCATACAATTAAGTCAAATTTGATGACAGATTGAATTGTCATCGGGTTTTTACCCACGGACCAAGTTTGAAATGAATCGGTCCGTAAAGTTGGTCGAAATTTCGCGCGGCAGTTTCAATCCATGTCGAAGCACTGAGACAAATGCTTTGAAGCTATAGTTTTGGTAACATGCTGGCAGCGGCTTTTGCTGTGAGGAAAGAGTTCACCCACTCTCAGACTTTAACCAATGAATGGATAACGCCGTCAGCCATATTCACAGCTGTTCTTACTTTACCCGGTTACAGTCAGGTACCCATTAGTGCTGAGTCGACTCGTGGCATTCCTGCGGTCGAATTTATGAGTCGAACTCGATACGTTGAAGCTAGTAGACATGCAATCTACGGCACAATCACTCTATCCCCTGTACATTATGACGATCTTACAATCACACCCCGCATCAGTTGAGAGACCTGATATTATGCTGTTTTCTATACATATCAAACTACCTAAGGCTGACGTACACCGTAAAAAGACAACGCCACCTGGGAAGCGGCTAAACTGTCACATAACTTCTTTGTTGCTTTAATGGACATGTCAGGGATTGATGCTGACCTCAACTTCGTCAAACAGTTGGCCTTGAACTCTTTCAGGAAGGTTTCAGTACAGCTAGTACTTTAGCACATACTCAATGTAAAGATGCATCTCTCTTCAGCCGGTGTTGTAATGGTGTTTTATAAGCGTCCTGTGTCTGTGTGTGTGTGTGGGGGGGGGGGGGGTTAGGCCGTAACTAGGAAACAGGGCAGGGTTAAGACATTTTATGCCATATAAATCATATTTCTATGGAAAAAAATTTGAAAAGAAATTATACACTTTTTGTCGGGGGGTTTTTTTTTTGGGGGGGGGGAGGAGGGAGGTGGAACTTTAGTAAGTTATTTTTATTGGGATCAGCCTTTGTATTAATTAATGACAATAAGGTTGGGTTAAACATTCAGCTGATCCTGATATTGCGTGAAATCATTTACGGTAGACTCCGTAGCAATTGATTTATTCTACATCGCTAGAAACTAAATAGGCCTAGTCGTATATATTTATGTATGACGTCTATAAGTTTGTGATGTTTACCAACGTTACAACAATCAAATCTCTTTCACCATGAACAGCTCGGTGAGCAGATTAGAAAAGGTCAAGGCTGTATCACCATGGAAACCAAGCTTTATAGACACACAAACAAAAATACCCGCTAATGGATCCTTGTAAAATGAAAACACGGGGACAAAATCTTGTCTACTAGTCAAATGGGAAGAATTTTTTTTTTTACGATTTAGGGGTCATCCATAAATAAAGTCACGCTTTTTTTGGACGATTTTTACCTCCCCCCTCCACTCCATCACACATTGTCACAAAAACACAGACCCCCCCCCCCATAATGACGTCACATCTCAGCCTACAACCCCTCCCCCTCTCAAAATTGCAGCTGAATTTTTTTTAATACATCGATCTTTTCCAAAATCTAGTCTGAACTCTGTCAAAATAGAGTATTTTAATCAATTCCTATATTTTATCAATTTATTAAAACCGTTTTCTAAAACGCGAAATAAGGGCTGAAACTCGTTTTCTAACATTGCTTTTTTATAATACAAAAGTGTGACGTCAGACCATCTGACCCCCCCCCCCTCCCCCTCATCTCACATCGTCACAAAATGAAGGACCCCCTTCTCCCCTACGAGTGTGACGTCATTTATGGACGACCCCTTACACTTTTGTTAAAAACATGTTTTAATTGAGGTAATAAGAATGCGAAGAAAAATTGTAAGATTTTGTAAAAAAAAAGTTTTGTTAAATGTCTTACATAATCATCATTATTCTCATTTATTATTCTATTATCTTTGTTGTTAAATGAACAAAAAGCAAATATTGAAAAAAAAAAATGTTTGCCGTTGGTACATGACGAAATAAAAAAAAAAACAGCTCTTCTAATTGGTCGAATGAGCTAAGTTCCTTCTTGTCGGTTGTCAACTACCAAATTAGAGATTAGGGGTCGTCCATAAATGACGTCACACTCGTAGGGGGGAGGGGGGTCCGTAATTGTAATAGGAATTGATTAAAATACATTATGTTGACAGATTTCAGACAAGATTTTGGAAAAAATATCGTATTTTAAGAACAATTCTACTGCAGTTGTGAGAGGGGGGAGGGGGTTGTAGGCTTAGGTGTGACGTCATTTTAGGTGGTCTGGCTTTTTGTGACGATATGTGACGGAGGGGAGGGGGACGTAAAACTCGTCAAAAAAAAGAAAAAAAAATAAGAAAAATAAAATCCTGGGTTCTTCACAGAAGGCTAAACGAGGTTTAAAAAAAACAATAAAAACAATTAGGCAGAGATAAAGTTTATTGAATGATTATTTTTTTAAAATGAGTACATTTATAAAAACAAAACTGAACATATGGGGAGGGGGCGTTGTCTTCACCCTACTGTAGCCTGTGCCTCGGGTACCCATTTTCTTATACTGTCCTCAATAAAAGTGTCCCATTTGGTCTGCCATAGGGCCTTGGCCTTGACCTTTTCTGTTTGGCTCATAGAACTGTACCTGGTTAAAACAGTTGGTTAAATTAGCCACAACATCAGTCTTAATATTCTAGTTAAAACAGTTGGTTAAATTAGCCACAACATCAGTCTTAATATTCTGGTTAAAACAGTTGGTTAAATTAGCCACAACATCAGTCTTAATATTCTGGTTAAAACAGTTGGTTAAATTAGCCACAACATCAGTCTTAATATTCTGGTTAAAACAGTTGGTTAAATTAGCCACAACATCAGTCTTAATATTCTGGTTAAAACAGTTGGTTAAATTAGCCACAACATCTGTCTTAATATTCTAGTTAAAACAGTTGGTTAAATTAGCCACAACATCAGTCTTAATATTCTGGTTAAAACAGTTGGTTAAATTAGCCACAACATCTGTCTTAATATTCTGGTTAAAACAGTTGGTTAAATTAGCCACAACATCAGTCTTAATATTCTGGTTAAAACAGTTAAATTAGCCACAACATCAGTCTCAATATTCTGGTTAAAACAGTTGGTTAAATTAGCCACAACATCAGTCATAATATTCTGTTTAAAATAGTTGGTTAAATTAGACACAACATCAGTCTTAATATTCTGTTTAAAATAGTTTGGTTAAATTAGCCACAACATTAGTCTTAATATTCTGGTTAAAACAGTTGGGTTAAATTAGCCACACCATTAGTCTTAATATTCTGGTTAAAACAGTTGGTTAAATTAGCCACAACATCAGTCTTAATATTCTGGTTAAAACAGTTGGTTAAATTAGCCACAACATCAGTCTTAATATTCTGGTTAAAACAGTTGGTTAAATTAGCCACAACATCAGTCTTAATATTCTGGTTAAAACAGTTGGTTAAATTAGCCACACCATTAGTCTTAATATTCTAGTTAAAACAGTTGGTTAAATTAGCCACACCATTAGTCTTAATATTCTAGTTAAAACAGTTGGTTAAATTAGACACAACATCAGTCTTAATATTCTGGTTAAAACGGTTAAATTAGCCACAACATCAATCATAATATTCTGGTTAAAACAGTTGGTTAAATTAGCCACAACATCAGTCTTAATATTCTGGTTAAAACAGTTGGTTAAATTAGCCACAACATCAGTCTTAATATTCTGGTTAAAACAGTTGGTTAAATTAGCCACATCAGTCCTGATAATCTGGTTAAAACGGTTTGGTTAAATTAGCCACAACATCATTCCTGATAATCTGTTTAAAATAGTTTGGTTAAATTAGCCACAGTATTGTAAAGCACTAAAATTGAACTGAGAGCTTACGTGAAAGAGTTCAAGGCCAACTGTTTGAGGAAGGTGAGGTCAGCATCCCTGCCGGACATGTCCATAAAAGCCACAAAGAAGTCATGTGACAGTGGAGCCGCTTCCCAGGTGGCGGGGTCGTCAGAGCTGACGACCAATGGGTAGTCGTTGGCGGCAAGGATGGCCATTGGATGGTTCCTTAAGTCTGAGACCAGCCCCAGGATCTGGAGGAAGTGACGTCACAAGGAGGAATATACAGACGTAATTAAATATTACGGTAAAAATATACGTTTCCGAAACGACAATGGTCCTAGAAATAAATACACTCTACATTACCTACGCAAGGAAATACAAACAGTTGAATAGTTATTTTCTTGTATTTTCACATTTAGCTAGGGCAGGGGTCTCCAAACTTTTCAGTCCGAGGGCCGCATTAACTATCAAATTTCAGTTCGGGGGCCAGTTTCTTCCAGGCATGTCTTTGATTTTTCTGAGCAAAGTTCCTCAGCCATCACCAACAAACGTTTTTTCCGTGGACAAAAAGATCTCCGCGGGCCGGATGAGAGGACATCGTGGGCCGCAACCGGCCTGCGGGCCGTAGTTTGGAAACCCCTGAGCTAGGGTATTCGCTACCCCTCACCTACCATTAACCAAATATGCATCTAATCACCAAGCAAGAATTTTAATAATTAGAAACACCTTTGTCCATTTAGTTGAAAGAAAATCTTTGCAAAAAAAAAAAGTATATCTCCATAATAGCCTGAATTATATCTCAATTGTAATCAATCGTGTCGTGCTATTTTTACCTGATTCGAGATGGGGTTAATCTCCACAGCTATACCCTTCTGTTTGACCATCTCCAGCACCTTGGGGTGTTTGATGAGACCGTAGCCGTGCCCGATGCGGGTCGTGTTCAGCAGGAGAGCGTCGATAAGGTTGTAGTCAACCTCCGTGTCTTGCCAGTCTGTAGAGTTCAAAGGTTTTAAGGAACTCACATTTCTTGCAGAGTTTCTTCCAGGCATCTCTTCCCCAAATTTCTACCGCCCCCCCCCCCCCCCCAACGAAATGAAATTTATATAATTTATATAGAAAATATATACTTTTAACAGTGTCCGCCCCCCCCCCCCCCCGAAGAAAGTCTACCGCCCCCCGAAAATTTCAAGTGCCCCCCCCTCCCCCCGGAGAAAAAAGTCTGGAAGAAACACTGATTTCTTGGCGGACACGCCCATGGTTTACTTACACAGATTTATGTTAGCTAAAGGCATGGGTGTAACTAAAAGGATGTATTTATATGTAAACCCATGAACTGAACAAATCCAACAAGGCTGGTTAGTAGGTCACCAACCACTTCTATGGCTCATGTAGGTTTTATTGAGCCGTAGAACTGGTTGGTGACCTACTTACCAGTCCTATTGTCTATTGGCGTAGCGTCAGTGAAATATTCAGACGAGCAACTGGACAAAAGCCCAAAATAAAATTATAAACAAACAAATCTCACTCACTGGTTTCTGCCGCGTGGAAGAAATAGGGCAACGTGTTTCTAGGTCTTAGCAGCGACTCCATGTAGAAGGAGAGGGGGTGGTTGGGGTCTTCTTGACCCACCAGGTCATAGCCTGATACAAAGTTCGGGTATTTCTTCCTTAAGGCTAGCGTTGTGTTCACCTGATCGGAAATTTCGCCCGCGGTTCTGTATCTAAAAAATTAATAATCCTGTTTTGTATCTAAAAACAAACAATCCTGTTTTGTATCTAAAAATAAAATATCCTGTTTTGTTTCTAAAAATAAATTATCCTGTTCTGTATCTAAAAATAAATAATCCTGTTTTGTATCTAAAAATAAACAATCCTGTTTTGTATCTAAAAATAAAATATCCTGTTTTGTATTTAAAAATAAATAATCCTGTTCTGTATCTAAAAATAAATAATCCTGTTTTGTATCTATAAATAAACAATCCTTTTTTGTTTCTAAAAATAAATAATCCTGTTCTGTATCTAAAAATAAATAATCCTGTTCTGTATCTAAAAATAAATAATCCTGTTTTGTATCTAAAAATAAACAATCCTGTTTTGTTTCTAAAAATAAATAATCCTGTTCTGTATCTAAAAATAAATAATCCTGTTTTGTATCTAAAAATAAAATATCCATCTGCATGAAAACTGATTTTGGTGACAACATTTTGGAACTTATGTTTTTATGACAATTTGTTGAATTTTAAAAGATATCTTTAATGTCACTGTTTTTGGAACTCATTAGCTACATTAAGCTACAATCTGTGAGTTAAGGCTGATTGTCCCTCGACCAAATTAAATCAATCTCCATGTTGGTTAAATAAAAGCGTGTATAAAGGAATAACAAGTTATATGTCCAATGTACTGGTGTCTACCAACCAGCCTTAGCGAGTGCGAAGTGGAAAAGGGGTTGAGAAATGTGGTACCTCAGTCCTGATACGATGATCTTGGCACCACTGACGTCACTGTGCTCTCGGACAAACTCTTCCGTCACCTGGTAGTACAGGTCAGCGCCGAACTCCGCGTCATGGATGGTACCGTCCAGCTCGGTAAACTGCGAACCAATTAGATGTAAATTTATATTAACTGCTTCACAATCTTCTTCTTCTTCGTTCTTAATTTTAGTGTGGGAGGGGATTCCCCCTAACACAATTATGTATACGTGTCATCTGGTTATGCGCCATTGAGGCCGTTGACTCCGATTTCAACCTGCTTTTCTTTTTTGGATTTGCTTCCATAGCCTTTGTCCAACCAAGAACAAACTACAAGGCAGCAGTTGTTTGATTTTGGAGCTCGCCTCACAATCACGTGATACAATTTAATTGTCATTAAACCTAAATAGAATTCTTTGAAATTCTTTTTTTTTATATTGAAAACTGTCTCTAATATTGTTTTATTTTACAGTATATACTATTTAAATACATTTAAATTCAGTTAATAAACGGGTTTTCCCACTTTTTTGACACACTTAATCTAAAGATGGTGATGGTTTGTACATGAGGATGTATTTTCAATGTGTTATGTGAAGAAGTAAAAACCTACCCCAGACAACAGACTTCGTAGCTCTATATACTGGACGTTGTCGGCTCTAAACTCTTCCAGTGCTTGTCTGTAGTAGTCTCTCATGATGTCCGCGTTAAACAGAAGTGGTATCACCTAACGGAATTGTAGAAATTATAAATATAAAAAATGTATTTATTAGTGCGTTCGAAAACATAATACTATTTTTTAAATTATACTTCATGTTTGAAGTGTCAACTTTTATCATTTTCAGTTGGAGCGGAGGTTTAAAAATTAAAATCGTTTAAACAACCCCCAAAAAATGAAAGACTGTTAATTAGTTATACATTATAACGTAGTGTCGATCCCCGCCTAAAATTTACACAGCAACAGTAAGGTCCAGTGTTTAGTGACCTGACCACTCACCTTTTTTTTCAGCCGCCTTTTGTCATTTACACGGGGGGGGGGGGCAGGGGGGCGGACTAAATTTTCCAGGGGGCGGACACTGGTTAAAGTATATATTTTCTAAATAAATTCTATTTTAGTCCGGGGGGAGGGGGATAGACGTGTTTCGGGGTGCGCCCACCCCCCACCCCCATCCCCGAAGAGATGTCTCACAGAAACACTGTTCAGCGGCTATGACGGCAATTTTTTTTTTAAATACACGTTTTTTTATGCATGTCAGCAATAATGATGGAAACCGTCTGATGAAACTGGGGCGCATCCATCAAAAGCGACACGAACGCCCCGTCCCAGTCCCAATTTGCCATACTTAACGTGAGATATTTGTCGTTATTTAGGGTCAATTGGGGGTTTCTAGCCCCTAGTAACACCCCTTGGTTACGCCACTGTTTCTCGTGGTAACATACAGCTGTAATGTTTATATGCCCAATCACTCAAGTGCCAGTTTAACGTTTGAAAGTTCTAAGTGCCCTAGATGTCAAAGAGATAGAACTTATCCAAAATTTAAACAACTTTTATAGACCTAATATATAGACAAAAATGTATGTAGATAACCAAGTGTATGTGTGTGTCTAATTTACCGTACGTTTTACTGTTGATTTAGTGTAAGCTTTGAGTTAAGCCGGTCATTTTTTTAAGATTTACAACCTCAGCTTGTTGCATAAGGTTTGCTGGTAGACCTAATGTTGAATTTCAACTTTTACAACTCCTTCCTACCCCCTCTTTTTCAGTCTTTTTGGGCTGAGGAAGGTTAACTTCTGTCTTCCAACAAAGTTAAACGTAGTCTTCCAGTTAAGTTAACTAACGTCTTTCACAAAGGTTAGTTTGTGTATTTCGGCCTATTTAACTAAGTAAATAATACATATTTTGGCAAGATAAACGTTTGCGGCAATTTGAACTTTTGTTTTCAGGCAATGTAAACTTCTGTTTTCTGGAAAGGAGAACTTATGTTTTCCGGCTTGACGATTTCTTTGTTTTCCGGCAAACGGAATTTTTCTTTAGCGAATTTGAATAGTCTGTATAGTCACGAGCGTTTCAACTGTAGCAAGCAGAGTTTCTTCCAGGCATCTCTTCGGGGGGAGAAAAAAGTCTGGAAGAAACACTTGTAGCAAGCCATGTAGTACATAGCTTAAGATCTCATTTTATAACTAAGCACCAGTCCCCCCCCCCCCCACACACACATACATACATACATACACACACATACACAGGGATAAATTAAATTTAACATAACAAGAGGAAGCCATATTATGTCTAAGCACCAATACACACACATTCACATTCATTTAACATCTAGCAAGAGGAAGCCACGCCTTACTCAGGTAACACGTGTATTTGCTTAACCCACCCAGAGGCGTAGCGACCCTTCCCGGCGCCCGGGGACTAACTTTTCGATTTGCACACCCCCCCCCCCCCCCCCTCAAACTTTCGATTTGCACCCCCCTCAACCTTTCAATTTATTTTTCCAACCCATTTTGGCGCCCCCTAAGGTCGGCGCCCGGGGACATGTGTCCCCCCCCGCCCCCCCCCCCCTCTCGCTACGCTACTGAACCCACCTGCGAGAAATACAGGTTAAAACCGGTCCCAGACTAGCGTGATGGTGGGGTAGGTCACCAGGGGGTCCGTCGTCAACATGCTGATGCTCTTCTTTAAGCTGAGGAGGAGCGGGGGAGGCGGGGTGTACGGTTGTTGTGTTAAATATCAGTGCACTCATGTCAGTACAGCGGCATTGTCAACTTGTAACATAAAAATAAAACTTCACAAAACATGACAAATTAGAAAGATCTACAAAAGAGTCGTCAAGTACTAAAAGACCTATCCTACAGATATTGACAGATATGGTCGTTGTAGTTACCGAGAGGTAAAGGTCCTGGGTCCTACTGAAGTGGAAAATTATAGTAAAGAAATAAGGAAGATCCTACAGAAGTGGAGAGATGTAGTAAAGGTCCTGTATCCTATTGAAGTGGAGAGATGTAGTAAAGGTACTAGGTCCCAGAGGCGAAGCGACCTTTCCCGGCGCACGGGAACAAGCTTTCAATTTGGCGCCCCCTCGGGAGCAAATTTTCAATTTTCACCCCCCCCCCCCCCCCTCCTCAACTTTTTGATTTGCATCCCCCCCCCCCCAACATTTCGATTTACACCCCCCCCCCCTCAAACTTTTGATTTGCACCCCTTCAAACTGCAAAAATGCAGCTAAATTGACATTTTAATTTGTTTTTACAACCCATTTTGGCGCCCCCTAAGGTCGGCGCCCGGGGACATATGTCCCCCCCCCTGCCCCCCCCATCTCTACGCCTCTGCTAGGTCCTACTGAAGTGATGTCGTAAAGGTCCTACGTCCGACAGAAATAGAAAATTGTAGTAAAGCTATAAGGTCCTACAGAAGTGGAGAGGTGTAGTAAATGTCCTCTGTTATAGACAGGTTAAAAGATACAAGGAGCGTGCCCCAGTGAGTTTCAAATCAAGCCACACCAGACCACAACTTGAGCTCAGACCTGTTGTCAAAATCCTCAACATTCGCTGCGGCGGCGCGCTCTGTCTTGACACTTTTCCATTCTGTTGAAGGTCAAAGGTTAGAAAAATCAAATACATGAAACAGCAAGCCCATTTTATTTTTTAAAAAAACAACTGTTTCTTCATAAAAGTGCGGAGATTCATTTTCTGCAAATTAAAAATTGTCTTTGTGAAATGATTTAGCATTCAAAATAGAAAGATGGGAAGGTTTGTAGTAGCTCTGTAGTTGACAAAACTATCCCTAAATTTCTCAAACAAATATCGCAGTTTGTAGACACTATTTTAAGATTGTCTGTCTTCAACTATAAGGCTGTATATGTATTCTATGGCTGTATGTGTACTCGGTGTTTGCTACTGAATTATATGAATTGTGAATACACGCCATACATGTATTCCGTGTTTGTACATACATTCTACAAGTGTAGGAGTGTGTAAGCCTTACGTTGGTCTGTGGGTGGAGTGCCGAAAGCCCCTAACCGAACAAAATTCTTCTCGTCTCTGTACATGTACACATTGTCCCTGTAGGTGGCGTTTTTGATCACCCAGTCCAGGCTGGTGAT